TGAGCATAAGCTAAACACCCAAAGACTTTCATGTGTGTGAAATCAGGGGGACTACCTTGCCAAAGTTCTTGAGATGTTTAAAGTCCTACGGCAGTGGCGAGGCTCCTATTAACTATGTAGCATACTGTCACCCCAAAAACTCTTGGGAAGCTATGCATTAAACAACATGCACCTCACTTTTTCCATTAGAGTTCGGTTCATTCTCTCAGCAACCCCATTCAATTGGGGGGTTCCTACAACTGTCAAGTGTCTAACTATGCCCATAGACTTACAGTAATTATTAAACTCATGATTACAAAACTCTAGGCCATTGTCAGTTCTAAGCTTCTTAACTTTTAGGCTAGTTTGATTTTCTACAAGATTTACCCACTCAACAAATTTATTAAAAGTGTCAGATTTATTTTTCAAAATATAAACCCACACTTTCCTAGTGCAATCATCAATTATGGATAAAAAATAATTAGCCCCACCATTAGTAGCTACACTAGATGGTCCCCATAAGTCAGCATGGACATACTCTAACTTTCTTTTTGTTACCTGCATAACCTTCCCAAATTTGAATCTCTTGGATTTACCATATATGCAATGCTCACAAATGTCTAAGTCTACATTTTTATTAATAGGGAGAAGGTTTTGTTTAGCTAACTCACTTAACCCTTATTCACTCATGTGACCTAGACGCTTATGCCAAAGAGTAATTTGAGAACTAACACATTCTTTAACTAAGGCACTTGACCCCGTAACAACCGAACCATCTAATGAATATAAAGTTTCTCTAAGGTACCCCCTCATCACTACCATAATCCCCTTCATGACTTTAACTATACCACTCTCAAATTTTATGGTATATTCTAGTTTATTAAGCATACTAGTTGAAATTAGATTCCTCTTAACCTCTGGAACATACCTAACACCGATTAAAAGTCTAATTTTTCTGTCATGAAGTTTAAGCCTAATTGTGCATTGAGCCTCTACATTACAAAAATGACGATTTTCTAGCATAGCTTTACCCCTCGTACCGGTTTTAAAGTTCTCTAACCAATCCCTATTTGGTGTCATATGGAAAGAACAATATGATGATCCATGTTTCATCCTCACTAGGCTCACTCACTATAAGGACATGGTCATACTCCTCATACTCCTCATACTCCTCACCGAGGTTGACCACATCCTTATCCTCTTTCCCTTTACCCTTTTGGTTTTGGTTATGGTTACCACCCCCATTCTTCCTAAGGTTGGAACAAAATCTCCTAATATGACCTTCTTTATTACAATTATAACACCTCGTATGACTAGGCTCCCTAGACTTCGATCTGTTTCTACTTCTTCCCCTATTATGGGATTTCTTATTATTTGATCTCTCACTAACAAACAAAGACTTGCTATTATTATTTTTACTATCCTTCAATTCTAACTCTTTCATTTTAATGACATTAATCACAATAGCAGACGTTAGATCATATTTACCATACTTCATTGCAGACTTAACATCATTATAACTATCAGGCAAAAAATTTACTAAAATAATTGCATGATTTTCATTAGAAAAGGTTTCACCAATATTCTCCATTTCAAATACTATTTTATTAAATTCATCTAGGTTATCTTTCATGTTTTTATTAGTTTCCATTTTAAAACTAAAGAACCTAGATTTTATATATTTTTTATTTGAAATGGATGCTACTTGATATGTAGTTTCTAACCTTTCCCAAAACTTACTTATAGTGTCCTCACAAAGCATTTGGCGTATGACACTATCTGCCAAGTGGCGCCACCCTATCCTTTTCTTTAAGATCATTCGTCATCATTGACACTTGCTGGAATTTTCTTAGGATCCATTAGCACGTAGTCAACTTTCTGTTGCCTTAACAAGGCCATCATTTTGATTTTCCAGAGACCAAAGTCTTCTTTACCATCAAAATGTTCCACTTCGAACTTAGTACTCATCCTACACAAAAACAAGAATGGACAGTACCTCGGAAGAATATTCTAATAATTTTCAGAATATTAACAAGAATTTACAGAATATTAACAAGAATTTACAAAATATTAATAATGCTGTAAAATTCAAAACAGTGTACTTTTTAGGCAATAAAAGAATGCAGATTACACAATAAAGAGAATACCAAGCTCTGATACCAATTGTTACAATTTTATATAAATTCTATAATCAATTTTCTTAATTTTCTTGTTTAATGAGTTCTTTATAGTCTAAAAGAGTATTTACAAATGCTAACTAAGAGGCGAATAATCACAGAAACGTTTCAATTATTCTTTAGATAATTTCCAGCAATTAACAGTAATGTAAAATAGAGAATCGACACAAAATTTATAGTCGTTCAGTCATAAAAATAGGACCTACATCCACTTTGCAAAGATAATATCCCTACGAGTCTATATTATTAACGACAAAGATCAAATCTACAATTACACGATAGGCATATACAACAAAAACATAATCGAAATCCTAAAATAGAGAGTCAAGATTTACGATTCAAGAAAGCTTCTACTCAAAATCTTGAAGAGATTTGAGAAGCAATCTCAAACACATGTAAATCTCTTCAAGAATAGTTAAGAACCATTAAAGATAGAGAGATACAACCTCAACGCTTAGATCTACCCCGAATCCAAGTCCTGATCTAAACAAAATCGCCAAAGAACCTTACGGTTGCACGACCACTCCGACGGCGGCGTCGTTTTTTGTTCAATCAGGCAGCAGCGTCGATTTCTACCCAACCCCGATGGCACGGTGAGAGGTGACGTCGATGGAATCGAAGGTGGGTAGAGGCGGTAGCTTGATCTCTCTCTCTCTCTCTCTCTCTCAAAGTGGCTCTCCTCTATCTCTATTCTTTTTCTCCTTCGGGTGTCTTAAACAAAAACGAACAAGGATGTTTTTTTTGGAAGGGGAGTGTGTGCGAGTCGTTTATTTCGCTCACTTGTGCTAGCCTTTGGCAGCCCAATGGACTTGTGAAGTGGACTTGTCCTATTACTAGAAGGAGTGAAGCCAATCGAATTGTCTTGTTCCTCCGGAACTGGTAATCCCCGAAAGACTTTCAAGGAGCCTTGGACGCCTCGCGAGCCAGGCTTCTAGAGATGAGGCCTTTTGGCGAAGCCAAGTCAATTTCGGGTCAAACAAGACCTAGACTTAGATGGGTTGGGTTTACTTTAAGAAGAATAGGCCATAAAATAAAACAAGTAAAAGATGTCCAATAAGATAAATGACAGCAAGAAACTCGTTATTAAATCAATATTAACAGCCACAGGTAATTGTTCCCACCCCGAACTCATAGCCATACTCGTTCTCAATGATCCTATATCGCAAAGTATTAGGATTTAAAGGAAAGCACCAAAGTCACTTGACAAAGAGAGCAAATTCCTTACTCTCTCAAATTTCTTATACCACTTAGAATCAACCTCCTTGCTAACAAGATGACATTCTCCACCCTATTGGAAAAATTAAAGAAATCCTAATTCATAATTATTCTAGAAAAGCCATAAAATTCTAGAACAAAAATCTATAAGATACTAGAATTACCTGGAACCATCTGTAAGTAGTTGTAGTTTGTGGTATTCTTCAACTATGCAACTCAGACCAAATATGGGCAATACTCGTTGTTTGATGGGAAACGGGAGACTCAAAGTGTATTGAGGACCATAACCATTTATTTATAAGTTAATCCTAGGTTTCCATAATCCCCTAAGATTAATGGGCTGGTTTCTACTCAGCAGTCACACCAATGAATGGGAAATCATGGGCCCATAATCAAGATCACTAATATGACCATTAAATAGCTCAAATATAATTACTCTTTAATTTATTACCCACATATGAATTAATTCCAACACACCCTCCTCAACACCCTCCCACCAAAAATTCCTTATGACCCTTTTTTAAAATGGAGCACACTAGCAATTAATGTTAATCTCCCATCTAGGGGTGTTCACGGGTWGGGTTGGGTTAGGTTAGGGGTATTTTTGGGAACAACCCGAATTTTCGGGTTAGCCATATGTGGGAATCGATGGGTCTAAAATTGATGGTCAACCCAACCAAACACAACCCAAATATTTCGGGTTGGGTTGTCGGGTTGTTACCTTTTTTTCTACCATATATTTTTCTAATCTCAAAGGTAAGGGTTCAAAGAATTGAAATCTCATAATGTGCAACTATGTTATTGAAATACAAAACAAAAGAAGGAACTAAAGTGCTTACTTGAAGCTGCTTCGACGACAACGGCGGGCTGCAGCTGCAAAGGCCGACGGCAATAGGAGAGGGAGCGACGACGACCGGCGAACATGGGAGTGGTGAAGGCCGACGGCGATGGAGAGGTTGAGTGAGGGAAGAAAATGGACGATGGAGGCTTGAGAGAAAGGTAGAGAGAGAGTGAAATTAAGGAAAATAAGAGAAAACCCTAAACCTACTATCATGGGATTAAAACTCATCTGGGGCTGAGATTGAAGATAAAAAAATCATTATATATTTATAATTAAATATATATATATATATAAAGGTATTATCAGGTTGGGTTGGGTTGACCCAAGTTTTTTATGGTCCAACCCGAGACCCAACCCAACCTGATCAGGTCGGGAATTTTACAACCCAACCCGAACCGAGGATTAATTGAACCCAACCCAATCCGAATTGTCGGGTCGTCGGATTTTTTGAACACCCTTACCCCCATCTCTAGATAAAAAGACCTTTAGAAACATAAATGTTTTTGAGTATTTTCCTGTGTCCCCAATAGAAGTCTTAAATATGTTGTAAGTTGGGAAGTGTTAAATTTGACTTTAATAATTTTATTAGAATTTAATTAATGTTCTTTATTTAAGTTTTATGGATTTATAGAAAAGTTTTGTTCTTTGTTGCCGCCATATATGTATTGGGTTTGGGCCTTAGATATTTTAGTTGGGAAAAGGCCCAAACTTAAATCAACCCAAAAAACCCTTATGTTACAACCTTAGTATAAATAGTTTGTGATGGGTTTTTGTAACCCTAGTTTTTTAACAAAAGGGAAAGAGGGCCGCCGCCGCCGACCGTCGAAGGGAAACGACGCCGCCGCCATTGCCGGGCCAGGCAGCCGAAACTTGTAGGTTAGTCGACGATCGTGGATCTCATCAAAGTTTGTATTTCTATCTTGGGGCTATTTTCATAAATTTGTTCAAGATTGAGTTTCTCCCTTTTTTTTTTCTTTTCAAGAATTAGAGTTGGAGCATCCTTAACAAATTCTTTGTTATTTACGTAATAGATTTCATTTCTGTTTCTATGCGTATTGTATAGTATGTATAGATCTCTGTTGTTAATAATATAGATTTGCCGAGACGATTAATCTTTGCAAAGTGGATGTAGATCCTTTTCGGGATTGAACCACTATAAATTTTGTGTTGATTCTCACTATTCCACTGCTGAAATTTATTGGAAATTGAATGGGATTTTTCTGTGCATAAACACCTCAATTTGTAGCAAATATAATCACTGATTTAGCCGGTAAGGGTTCTGTTTAAAGAGGAAAACTATAAAATCATAACACGAAGAAACTTTAAAACCTACAAGAGTGTTCACCTCTTTAAGTTTATCTGGATCATGATTAAGACCAGCAACAAAATCTTCCTCCCTGTTGATTAGTACATGGTCTCGAGAACTATTGTAAAGGTTCAGAAATGAATCCTCCCTCATAGAACCAAAAACTAATGGTACCATGAATTAACATTTCTTCCTTGTTCCACTATATGTCATTCTATGATATCTTTTCTGCAGTTAATCATTGGTTTCATCAGGTTGAGCAATCACCTCGTCAATAGTATAAACGTGCTGTTACGCGATGGAAGGACAAGAAGATGTATTTGGAACTGCAGACAGTTTGGGTGAGGGAAAGGTGGAGGAGCATCCTGTTGAAATCAAGGCCTTGTTTTTCGCTCGGGCTCGAGATCTCACGGGCATGAACGACCTCGTATTAGAGGTCCCATCAGGCAGTACTGCCAAGGATTGTTTGAACAAGATTGTAGGCAGATTTCCAAGGCTGGAAGAGATAGTTGGATGTGTGGTTCTGGCTCTGAACGAGGATTATACAACTGAGTCAACAATTGTTAAAGACAAAGACGAGTTGGCAATTATCCCTCCCATAAGTGGTGGCTAATCTTTCTTTCTGTTGCCATTCAAAACAGATTTTTCTTCTGCTGCTTTTTCAGCTGTGGGACCATTCAGCTTCTGACTCAACTGTGTACAAAATTACTTGTATCATATGAAAGTTATTGTACAATTTGTTTTCATCTTCAAACTTTCTTTCAACCATGTAGAAAAATTACTACTTGTATCATATGAATGTTTTTGGGACCATTATAAAATATCTACTTTGTTAGGATTGCGAAATTGCTGTGAGATTTCAACTAGATAAAATAGCTGCAAATAGAATCTTGGTAGCCTGGATATTCGTTGAACGGGAAGTGGTATAGGAAAGGACTTTTGAATTGGATGTACTCACCTAATGAGAAAGTCCCTGACCCAAGGAGAAGAGAACCTTGTATTTTGGTTTAGGAGTCGTGTTTAATCTTGAATGCTATTAATAAATTCTACAAGTTACATATTATCATTATCAAGATTGATGATTCGGTCCTTTACCCTGTCAATTGTTAAACTCAATAATAAAATTCTAGGTTAAATTCAACATTCTTGCTCTATTTGTGAGAAGGAACATTAAAAAAAAAATCACCCAGAAGAAGAAAAAGCCAGATAAACATGTAATTTTTGTCCCTATGTTTTACCAGCTTTTAATTTTTGTCTCACTAAATGTTGGTGATAATTTAACATTCAGATTATTAACTAGGTTAAAATTGTACTATGTATTAGTTGAACGTGTTCATCCAAACTTACCTACTTCTACAACTAGGAATGGATCAAGAGTAGAGACTTGATAGAAAATTTTGTATGTATACAAGATAAAATTAGGACTCTTAAAAAGATCACAAACAAAATAGATAAAATTATATATTTAGCATGAAATTGGATTAGCGGCACTGCGCTACAACATGTTGATATTCGTACGATCTTACCATATTCTAACTTCACCGAGACAACTTTATGATCAAAAGACATTTAGAGTCGAGAGTTTGCTCAACCGCTTAAATTACTAACAATTTGTGTTCATACTTATACATAGATTTAAAAATCATAACAAATTTAGTCTCTGAACTCTCGAGATTGTGTTTAATAAGCCCATGAACTTTGAAAAGTGTTTAATAAATTCCTAAACTTTCAACACCTGATAAATCCATTTTAAAATTCACGTACCTATTAGCCACAATTTCGAAGGTTGCCATACAGGTGTGTTCAGCAATGCATAAAATGCATTCATCAAGAGAACACACAAAGAGGTATATCTTAAAGGGGGAAAAAATAAGAAAAACAAAATAAGACAAGCCATTATCTGGATTTACTTTACACACAGCTGATGCTGAAGCATCTTGTATTGGACAGAACATATATTGGAATTGTAAAATTATTACATCTTATATATACGATAGAGAGAGAGAGACACTGCTACTTTTACTTTATCTGCATGTGTTGTGGGAAGAATCCTCATCTCATGCTGATTGCAGGCCATGGGTTTACCCCGGCAGCAGGGAGAGCAGGTCGAATGATCGGGACACGCCTCACCACCGAAAAGGCTTCGTTAAGACGAGCAGCTCGACTCATGAACTGAGATGCCTTCTGCAAGCAAGAGTTAGTTCATGGGGTCAGAAAAAATCATCTCAACTTTGTGAAGACAACGATAACTGATGTGGTCTAATGCCCCAACAGCGGTGCAAATGATGCAGCTTACAAATTTTGCAGAATCAAAGCTAAAATTACCACAAAAGTGTCCAAACTCAACGACAAAACCAAATAGCTAAAGTGAAGTCTGTACCCACCAAATACACTGCCTAACACAACCACCAAAAACCACTACTTGCAAAAATAATTCCCCCATTCACAACAATGCAACTCCAATTAAGAAAAAAGTTTAATAAAGTATTAATTTCTAACACTTGTCACCTTTTTGGGTTTTTTCCCTTCGAAAATTAAGCTTATAAAAACTACTTTTCTCTACTTTCATTATTTACGAAGTTTTCAAAATCCAAGCAAAAAAATATATATATAGTTTTTAAAAACTCGTTGTTTCTGATGAAATTTGGGTTAAGTATTTAAATGTGTTTTTAGGGGAGATACAATCGTAAAAACAGAAAACTAAAATCAAAATTGTTATCAAATGAAGCTCAAATTAAACTTGAATCACACAACTCATTACAAAACCCAAAACACAGCCAATATGAGTATAGTTCAATGATGATTGGCATATACTCCTTTCTCTCGAGGTTGGAAGTTCGATCTTCCATATCCCCAAATTGTTGTACCAAAAAAACAAAACCCAAAAAACAAAAAAGAAACAAAAAAACCAACAAATGGAACCACAGATATACCAAGTAAGAGGACCACAGATATGCAGCACAATAAACCCAACAAGCAACAACTTGTGGAATTTCTTTACAGTGTGAAGGAATGAGTTAAACAGTACCATCAGCCAAAAGAGCAGGAACCAATTTAAACAAATAAAAACAAAAGTTCAGAGCATTTAATCTGTTTGCTGTATAAATTATCTAATCTGTTTGGTGTATAAATTGTTGCTGAACTTACCTTGTCATCCAGGGTAACCTTCAGCAGTAAGCTGGGGCTCTTCCTCTTCATTTTGTAGAGCTTCCTTCCTAAAATAATGAAACCCATCACAGCAGCCGCTACAGAGAAAGACCAGACAGGGCCTGCTCTGAACATGCAATACTTCAACACCTCAAATGGAACTTTCCACCATACTACTTTCCTCTTCTCTCCAACCCCACTGCCTGATTCTGCGTTAACTTTTGTTTCTTGAATTTTAAGGTTCTTTTTCTCCTCCAAATGCTCGTCCCCTTCTTCTAACTTCACTATTTTTGAGTCACTTTGATCAATGTCCCCAAATTTGGCCGAGAACTTGCTCAAATCCTTGCTTTGGGGTTGATTTTCATCAAATTCTTCAAAAGCTAATTCAATTTTTGAATCAGAGCCTCTGATTTCGCTGTCGTGTGACTCTAAACCTTCCAATTTCTGAATCCTGCCCCTTGATTCTTCGTCGTCTGTTTGGGTTTGAAGAAATTCTGCAAGACCAGACTCGGTTTTCGAATCGAATTCGTTAAACTTACGCTCATCCGACCTATCACTGCCAGAATCGGACCAGAATTCACCCGAATTTACCCTACCGTACCGATTCTCAGAACTGGGATCGATCCAACTAGGATTATCCGATTCAATCGAGCCCTCCTCTTCGTTCAGATCACGCTCAGCTACAGCCTTGGCGCGCCTTCCCTGATTTTCAAGAGAGAAATAGTCGGATTTGATTATAGTCTCGGAATCGGACTCACCTTCGATTCCCCCAAAATGATTCGATTTCTCCCCCGAAAACTCCACCGCCGTTAGGGCACTTTTGGCGTCCGAATCGTGGAGCAGCACCTCCCAATCGTGAAACTCAGCTCCCACTGCTCCTTCCATGGCGACCAACACAAATTCCTCAAGTCACAAACTGAAAACGAAGAAGAAATCGCATAAACAACTAATAAAAGAGAGAAATCAAGCAGCCGACAAAAGGGGCAAAGAACCCAACAGAAATCGAACGAGTGGGCATGAAATCAAACAGAAAAATAGTCAAAAAAAGAAATCCAACCCACTGAGAAAGAAAGAGAAACCGCTAAATCTTCGGAATCCAAATCTGACCCAACTTCTCCGAATCTTCAAAAATTCGTTTTCTTCCACTCTCTCGCACTGGAGAGACAGTGACTCGATAATCAGTGGGTCGGAGGCGCAGGGGAAGAAATGTGGAGCTCATAACAGAGGATTGCGCGAAGAATCCATATGCCCTTCTCAAGGGTTTTGATTGATTGATGCACAGAATGCAATAAGAACAAGTGGTGGAGAAAAAAGCAAAACGACAATTGAAAAAGAAAAATCGAAGATTGGGTTTGGATAAACTGACCAAAACAAATGTGTTTTTTGCTTTTTTTCCCCAATATTTTTCTCATTCATTGTAAAGATTTCAAATTCCTAGCTCTATTAACCCAACCATGTTTATTTTGTTTTAGTTCATTGAACTTTTTTTGATAGGTGATAAAAATAAAATAAACCGACATGTCACGTGAACCAATAAAAAAATTTGACTATATGTTGAGGTATGAACTTCATATCCATTTTCAAAGACCATTACCTCAGCCTAAGTGATAACTCGATCATGAGATACTTCAGTATAAACGATGACAGTAATACGACCATAGAATATTTGGCCTTAAATGATAGTTCGGCCATGGAGTACTTCTACCTTGATTTATTGCTTAGCAGTTATATTACAAAACCACTCAACCGTCTTTTTGACAAGACGTCGTGATTTACGGGACGATCGCTGGAATCTTAACTTATATAAATAGAGAATTCGATCTCATTATTCATGTATGCAAGACAATCTCGAACTAAGACGGACTTAAACGTTGGAGTTTTTTACTCTCTCTGTGCAGGTTCTCTCATTCGTCGACCTATTCAAGTCCGAGCTTCATAGATAAAATGTTTTTTTTTCTTTTCTCTTTTCTTATGTTCTTGTTTTTCGCACATCAAACATTTTTCTCACTTGTTTGAAAGAGTTCAAACTTTTCGCTCTAATTTATTGACAAAAAAGAATTAAAAGGTATTTTTAGTGGGAATATTAAGATTTTATCCTCAATTTATTATATATTTATTTCTCCATTTTCGCACCGTAACAAAAACCAGCAAACTGAAAAGTCCTTGACGGACAAACCACCACCTTTTTAACCAAGCTGAGAAAGATTACTCAATATTCTCACCCACCCAATTTAGAAATAAAATATTATATTATTTAACGACGTGTCAAGTTGCTAACAGAAGGAGTATATACTATTGTGGTACTAGATTATCGATGCTAATAGAATGAATCGATAAAGTCACCCCAATCGAATTGATTGCGATTTTACACTTTAAACAATTGATTTGACCAATCAGTAGGAATCGATCAAACTTATTCGATTATGTCAGTTTCATTGATTATAATTTATACCTACAGTAGAAAAATTATTATCCTAAAACTTAATGTAAATTTTGTTGTTAAGTCCCTATATTGTGAGACTAGTTAAATTTTAGTATATGAAATTTCAAAATAATTAAATTTAGTATTTTTATTTTCAATAAATCTTATGGTTTAAGATTAACTTTTACTTTAAAATAAATGTAGTTAATATAAAGTTTCGTTTAGAAATTTGAAAAGCATATTTCTATTGTCTTTTTTTTCAATACAAAATTGTTATTAATTTTTTGACCAGTCAGATAAAAATTAACTTTAAAATATAAAACTAAATTTAATCATTTAAAATATATGTAATAAAATAAAAATGATTCAATATGGATTAAAATGATATTTTTGCTTAAATTTTTTGTTATTATTATTATTATTATTTTAATTTGATCCTAGATATGATGCATTTGAAATTTGTCGACTATAAAGAAAGAAGCAAAATGGGATGTGGGGAGACTTTGGTTTTTCAGGTCGACCTCTTTTCGTTGTTAACAATTGGTGCGAATTTAGCGAAATTCTGCCAAATTTCTGCATCAACATCACTAATAATAAATATAAATAGTTTCTTAAAAAATAATTACAAAAAGTAAATTTATTAATTAATAGTTAATGGTCAATAACAATAAATATATGAAATTTAAAAGGAGTTGGAATGCAAAAAAAAAATTTCTATGACTTAATTTTTTCCATTTAATTATAATTTATAATAATTATTATAAATAGTAAGTTGATTAATTAATAATAAATATATAGAATTTAAAAGAGGTACTCCGACAAGAGACAAGTACTCTCAAAACAAAGATCTTTACACAATTATTCGTCTTCTGTTTTGAGAGTGGGGGCCATTGTTATGGAGAACAAAAACGACCCGAAACGGGACAAGGAGTTGAAGTGTGAGATCATTGATTGGGAGAGACCGGTCCGTGACGTAACGGGCCGGCCCAAAGAACGACCTAATGCCGGGGCAAAGAGCGAGGAAAGCGACTGGCGGAGAACTAACCGGGCCGAGAGGGCTCGGTCCCGACCCGGGGCTCGGTCCAGACCAGGGGCTCGGCCCACGGCCCAGCCAACGATCCCCCATCTTCGATCGACGATTCCACCCAGGCCTTGCAACGGTGAATTAGGGTTAGCTATGGAAAGTTCTGGAACAACTCCACGCTATAAGTAGCGATCCAGCCTTAAAGGTAAGGGGGGCAAAGAAGTGACTACATTTACCTTGTTCTCTTACTAACTTAAGCATCGGAGTCCGTGTGACTAGTATCACACCGGTTTAGCTCGATTTGGTTTTGCAGGTACTAGTCCCTGATCAACAAGTTTGGTGGGTGCGAGGAGGAGAACCGGAGACCGAAATCCACGCATCAACAATTATTATAATACCAAATTGATTAATTAATAATTAATTGTCAATAATAATAAATAATAGAATTTAAAAGAGATTGAAATGCAAAAAGTTTTTCCTACGACTCTAATGTTTGGTTTCTTTTCTTTTTTTAATTTCTTGATTTACAAAATATACCATTAAGAATCTATAGTATATTTTTTTCAAAAGAAAAAAAAATTGTGGCAGCACAATAGGAGCAACTTTTTTTTCTCTGTTTTGCCCTTTTATTAAATTTTTTTTTCACTATTTCTTTGAGGACAATTTTGTCCTTTCTCTCCCATTCCTATCCGCTCTCAATGCTCCCTCTCTCGTCCACAATTCCCTCCCACTAACACACCATTTATGTTTATTAATTTACTCTCAAATTAATTTCTCATTTTCTCATTGATTATTGAATAATGAGTTCTTTTTTCAGGCAAGATTATTGAATGAGTTAATCACCAAAAACTAGAATAGGTAAAGTTTTGTCTTTATTTCTATAATTTAATTCAAAAAATTATACTTACTTTTTGTATTATAATTACTAATTTTCTTAAGAATGAATAAACCATTACTCAACCCAAAAGCTTAAGTGGATGAGTTGGATAAATTTAATTCATATTCTAACACTAATGAGATTTCAATATTTTTTAATTATTTTTATTATTTAATAATACCAAAAATTAAAATAGATAAAGTTTTGTCTCTTTGTTTCTCTACACATTAATTAAAAAAGTTATGACTTATTTTTAGTTATAATTAATAAGAAAATTTTAAAAGTTTGGTAGCTCTTTCTTCAATATATATATATACACACACATACTATATTAAAAAGAGACAATCCTAGAAAAATATTTTTGGACTAATAGGACCCTCCTTCAATTTCTAAATTACTAGACATGCCACTACCAATTAATTTTAGAAAATCAATTAATTATTTCATCCTTTCTTTAAATATAACAAATTAATTAGTTAATAATTACTATATGAAATATAAAAGATTGGAATGCTTTATTACAAATTTTAATTAGTTAATAACTAATTATCAATAATACTTATAAATATATGAAATATAAAAGGTTGGATGCAAAAGTTCTTTTATACAGTTTTAAAAAATTCATCTAATTATAATTTATAATGGAATTTCCATTTAACCATCTATTACTTTGTAAATATAAGCTTTCTTCTACAATTTTGTTCATAAACACTTAGAGGTCGATTCATCCTTCTTTTTAACGTTATGGATTCATTGTTCTCAAAAAGCTCTTCAATCTTCAAAGATGTCTCAATATGTTAACAATTCCACTTGGTGAAATATTCAAGTTGCAAGATTACATGTTAGATCTATATCTTAGGTGAGTGACATTACAATTCCACTATGTGATATGCGTCTATAGTTAGGGTCTTCGTATAATCGTTGCTATTTTTTTCTTTTATAATTATTGTATTTTTTTATTTAAAATATTTGGTAAACTTATTTATCATAATGACAAGTTTATGTCTTTTTTTTAAAAAAAAAATCATGTAAGTCAATACCTACAAAATTTTTAATTAATTATCAATAGTAAATTAATTAATTAATCAATTATCAAATAATATTAGGTAACTAATCTAAAAAAAAAGTTTTTTCATTTCATTCTTAGGAACTTATAGAATTTTCAAATAATTAGTATAATGATAAATATAATTAGTAAAATAAATTTTGTTTAGTAAGGTTGAAAATATATAAAAAAAAAAGCATAAATTAGGCAAAATGTATTTTTTAAAAATAAAAATATAAAAATACTTATATATTTTTAATTGTTATATTAAAAATGTTGTAGGAGATAATATAATGTATATGCCCCTAAAAGGTTAAGTGAATGTAATGTGAAAGTTAGAATGTAAATTTTTTTTATTAATTTACATAAATTAATTGTATAATTGAATATTTATATATAACAATATTTAATTGTAGAATACCAAGGTTTTTTAATGTTAAAAGGTATATACTTTTTTAGTTCCCTCGGCCACTATAATCTCGTATCTTCAATTCATTTCCACTGATTATAAATAATAAAATATATTTAACGTAGCTATAACGTACATACTAAATTAGTTAAATAAGTTATTTTTATAATGAATAAAATTATTATTTTATTATGTCGTGGTAATACAGTAATATATAAAAAGAGTTTCACCTTTTCTCTTGTCTTTGTCCTCAGTTAAAACTTGCATCTCTCTTTTCCTCTCTCCTTTGTCCTTAACTAAAATTTGCATCTCTCTTTTTTTCATAACTCAAATAAGAATACAAAGTTTTCTCTTTTCCTCTCTCGTCTTTGTCCTTAACTAAAATTTGCATCTTTTTTTTTTCATAACTCAAATAAGAAATCAATACAAAGTTTTCTTTCTTTTATGTATCGTTATCTTTAGGAACAAAAATACTGAAAATTTAAAAATATGTGTT